TGCGGGTGTGGGTGTCGACAGAATATCGTCGGCAGTCCTCCGAGGGGTATCCCACGAAGGTAGATTGATCGGCAGGGGAGCATGAGATCAAGAATAAGAAAGCAACAGAGACACACGAGTTAGACAGGTTCAGACCGTCAGTATGACGTAATACCCTACTCCTGTGGTCTGTTGGTTTGTATTAGCTATCGTATGATATTGCGTGAGTTTGGAGGGGGTCCCGGTCCCTGCCCGCCTTATATAGTCCGGGGAGCAGGGTTACAAGTCGGTTAGATCTGAGAGATAACCGGAAAGTAATAACTGATTACAGGAATCTTGGGATTATAGATATCCTAACAGATCTCGTAGTATCTTCAGGATATCTTCCAGATGTCTTGCGAAAGGCGCCGACCAAAGCCGTGCCCCGCAAGGCCTCGTCTTGTGGGCTGGGCCTCCCCTGAGGGCGCAGCCCATGTGGTCTGCCGTGGGTATCCGGGGTCGTACCCCCCACAGCTAGTCCCCGAGCGCCTTGTATCTGTTGTGCAACGCCGTCTTGAGCTTGTCCGAGCAAGTGCGAACCAAAGCCGAGCAGTCCAACTCATGGTCCGACCACCGTAATGAGTCGCCGAGCAGTTGTGAGCAGTTGCCGAACAGCATGCACCATCGCCGAGCAGCGTGAACCGCAGCCGATGAAAGGTCCTAATATGGCTAGAGGGGGGTGAATAGCCTATTTAAAAACTACAAATCAACTAGAGCAATTTGATTAGTAAGACAAATAGCGAAATGCAAACTTGCTCTAGCTCTACAAGGGTTGCAAGCCACCTGTCCAACAATTCTAGTTGCAATGATCAATTGGCACACAATCTACTTGACTACTACTCACTAAGAGCTCTCACAAATGCTACACTAAAGAGCTCCACTAGATATGTTTAAAGCACAAGGCAAGCTCTCAATTCTAGTTTCACTAAAGAGCTTGCTATATCTAGTTTGCGGAAATGTAAATGAGTAAGTGATACGATTATACCGCCGGGTCGTGGAGTGAACCAATCACAAGATGAAGATTGAGCCAATCACCGGAAGAATGCAAATGACAAGAGACAACCGATTTTTCTCCCGAGGTTCACGTGCTTGCCAACACGCTAATCCCCGTTGTGTCGACCAACACTTGGTGGTTCGGCGGCTAAGAGGTGTTTCACAAACCTCGTCCACACGATAGGACACCGCAAGAACCGACCCACAAGTGAGGTAACTCAATGACACGAGCAATTTACTAGAGTTACCTTTCGGCACTCCGCCGGGGAAGGTACAACTCCCCTCACAATCACCGAAGGCGGCCACGAACAATCACCAACTCGTGCCGATCCTTCACCGCTGCTCCAACCGTCTAGGTGGTGGCAACCACCAAGAGAAACAAGCGAAATCCGCAGCGCAACACGAATACCAAGTGCCTCTAGATGCAATCACTCAAGCAATGCACTTGGATTCTCTCCCAATCTCACAATGATGATGGATCAATGATGGAGATGAGTGGGAGGGCTTTGGCTAAGCTCATAAGGTTGCTATGTCAATGAAAATATGCAAGAGATTTTCCTTGAGCCGGCCATGGGGCTATAAATAGAGCCCCAATCAAATAGAGTCGTTATACCCCTTCACTGGGCAAAACGCGCTCTGACCGGACGCTGGCCCTCAGCGTCCGGTCGCTCGATGGACGCCACGCGTCACCAGCTTCAAACACTGTTTGTCAGATTTCAACGGCTACGAAGCTGACCGGACGCTCCGGCAAAACTGACCGGACGCTGAAGCCCCAGCGTCCGGTCGTTTCCAGTAAGCTCCCCGAGGCGTATTTCTTCGATCGGACACGTCCGGTCCACCTTGACCGAACACAGACCAGCGTCTGGTGCTCAACCTTAGCCACTGTGCCGTCTGACAGCACGACCAGACGCAGCCTTTGAGCGTCCGGTCGCTGAGTGACCCAGCGTCCGGTCAGTAGACCGACGCCAGCATCATTTCGACCAACTCCATTTCAACTCTAACTTCTTCACCCTTGCTCAAATGTGCCAACCACCAAGAATTTTCATCCGACGCAATAGAAAATAGGCATTCTATTTTCCCGAAAGCGCCGAACACTGCAAACACCACCTCCTTTGTAAATGTGCCAACACCACCAAGTGTATCACCTTGTGCACAAGTGTTAGCATATTTTCACAAATATTTTTAAAGGTGTTAGCACTCCACTAGATCCTAAATGCATATGCAGTGAGTTAGAGCATCTAGTGGCACTTTGATAACCGCACTCCGATACGAGTTTCACCCCTCTTAATAGTACGGCTATCAACCCTAAATGTGATCACACTCTCTAAGTGTCTTGATCACCAAAACAAAATAGCTCCTATGGTTTATACCTTTGCCTTGAGCTTTTTGTTTTTCTCTTTCTTCTTTCCAAGTCCAAGCACTTGATCATCATCATGGTATCATCATCATCATGCTATGATCTTCATTTGCTTCATCACTTGGAGTGTGCTATCTATCTCATGATTACTTGATAAACTAGGTTAGCACTTAGGGTTTTATCAATTTACCAAAACCAAACTAGAGCTTTCAGCCGAGCAGCATGCACCATCGCCGAGCAGCGTGAATTGCAGCCGAGCAGCATAACCCAAGTACATCTTGCCATAAGGGTGTAAGGAGCTCAAGTACAGAATCGAAAATTTCTTCGCAGTGGACCAAGTGTGCCCACTTAGAGTCCGACCACAAGAGGAGGAGTTAGTCTTTTTCATCTTGAACAGCCACAGAGTCTTCTAGAAAAAAGCAAGCACATTCTCGTGTAGGAGGAACAGGCGTGACCAAGGAACCGCTGCCGACCACCCATAACGCAGAGCGCGGAGCCCGTAGCACGTGTGGGGAGGAGCCGGAGACAGGGCCGTCTCTGGAGGCGTCCGAGCATCAACATGACTGTTCGGGGGTTCGAAAAATCGTTTGGAGAGCAAATATGGAGAAAATAGCTCGGAGAAACATTATGGCGATATACAAAGATTGGAAAATATTTAGAAGAATATTAAAACGTGACTTAGCTTTAGACAAAAAGTCTGGTCGACGACGTATGACGTTATCTGGTCGGCGTTGACGGTGAGCACCTGGTGGTTCCGAGATCGGATCTGCTGTCGCGGGGGCTGGTGTAGCCAGTGATGAATCGTCGTCGTGGACCGACATGGATCTCCGCGAGATTGATGACGAGAACGCGCTGTTGATTTGAGGTCCATCTGGCTCGCCATGGATCAAGCGCACACCCCTACCTGACGCGCCAACTGTCGACAAAAGATGCTCGGCAGTTCACCGAGTGGTATCCCACGATAGTAGATTTGTCGTAGAGGTGAGCGAGATCAGGAACGAGATGGTAATACAAGCACCAAGACACAAGATTTAGACATGTTCGGCCGTCAGTATGACGTAATACCTACATCCTGTGTTCTGATGTATTGCATTGAGATGTATCGATCTGTCCACTAGGGGACCCCTGCCTCTCCTTATATACTCTGGAGGGACAGGGTTACAAGGAAAGTATTCTATTTGGTACTATACAATAGCTTGCGATGCACGTCGAGCAGCGCCGTGCACGCCTTGATCTTGTGGGTTGGGCCACCTCTGGTGGTGCGGTCCATGTCTTGTCTGGTGGATACCGGGGGCCATACCCCCGCAGTGGGCATGCTATTTTCTTGCCTGTCTACCTTTGCCCGTTTGGACACAACTCTATACCTGCGCTCGTGCCCGTGCCCGCAGGCAAAGGTTCGCGCCCGTATCCGTGCCCAGGTCGGGTGCCAGCAGGTATGTGGATTTTTTTTTTCTGCTCGTTGCCATCTTTACTCGGCTCATATAGCAGGTCATGCTATGCTAGACCTCAATGTGAGGCTTGTAGTGTCAGGTCATGCTATGCTAGACCTACAGTGCTCGTTGCCATCTTTACACAACTCTATACCTCAATGTACGGCACTTGCAAAATTTTCTTTGGTTTCAGAAATCAAATTTGTAATTTGGGAGCATAAATCTACTTGCAGTAGTCTGACATACAAAGCATAGTTACAAATCATCATAAGTTGGCCCTGAGTTCATTTTAGACAGCTAAAAGTCGACCAAATTATAGCGGACAGCATAGCACAAGCTCAAGAACGATTGAACGAACAATGAACTAGGCAACCCAAAGATCAAAAAAAAAAGTGCATCACTGCATGAGCTAAACTGAAGGTCAGTTTTGCTCTTTCCATTATCTAACATTCAAAATTTAGAACTATTTACACCAATGCACAGCCAAGGTGAACTGAAGACACCACACCACCGATCTAATTTTGGTGATTTTCACTCGTTGAATCTGCAACCTTGAACCAGAGTTAGTTCTGAAGATCACAGATTTTCAGCTAAGCAAAGCTCTACCTACTAGGAGTCTTAAGGACAGTCACGCCTCCACCTGCTCTTGGACCGTAGCAAGAGAAACGTTGGACCATAACTGAACAGACCTTACTCAGAGTCTCACATCAAACATATCAATATCTAAGAGGAATTGCTAACAGCTGGATCCACACCAACAGACAGCAAACAAGTTCCTGGCAGATGACTGAAGGCAACAGTTGGATTCAACACAATTGTGTGGAAGCACCTAGCTCAACTCAACCGTAGATTGCTGTAACAAAGAGCAATAGTCTGTGGCTAACCATAATAAAATCATCTTTCACAACAATGCTAAAGTACTTCAAACAATCAGCATCTACAATGAACTTTAAGCTCTGTTCTAGCAAACAGTCTCCTACAAAAACATTTCAGTTACTGTTCAGAAGTACAGTGAGAAAATCTGGTTTGGAAACTAGATATATCATGAGATCAGCATTAACATCTGACTGTAATTTGTACAGGGCATTGAATGCCAAGCTAAGAAATAACAAAGCCACAGGACTAGCTAATACATCATATTAGAGCATCAAAGGAAAGGGGTGTCCACAAATTGCCAAAACTCCAAGGCAAGCATGGATTGGTCACTGGCCAACACCATAAACAAAACTGGGAAGCTCCCAAAGGCTTTGCAGTTGCCTCGACGGGGCACGGGGTAGATTCTTTTCTGCACTGTTAGTACACAACTTTGGGTCAAGCACCACCTGACCAACTTCGACCACACTCCAACGTTCATTAGAATCTACAGACGGGTTGGCAATGTAAATACAGTTCCTTTTCCCACCCCATTTCTCAGGACCCAGGCAAGAAAATGTTGGATTCCTCCTATCAAAACTAACAAAGAGGGCATTGTCTCCCAGATCATCCACTTTTACCCACTTAGCTGGTTCAACTTGAAAGTCAAGGCGAAATACATTAAAGGTTCCAGATAATCGAGAAAAGGGATCGATGCTTACTGAGAAGTCAACCAAGAGAAGCATGTCACCACAGACCACCAACCATGGTGCATTCCACAGGCCTAGAAACATGTCCGCATCCCAGACAACTAGTACTTCCTGCATGCTCAGCTGAGGTTCCAACGGTATTCTGTGGAGCCTCTGAAGGAAGTCAATGGCAAATATCTCACCTTTGAAGGACACGATTTGAACAATGCATTGGACACCCAAAGGGTGCTCAGACCAAAAGTCAGATCCAACCTGCCACTGAAACATGGATGATCTTGAGCAAAAGAGGAGACGGGAATTAGATAAATTGATCGGAGCTACAAGTGCTCCATAGTAGACATTGCGGTTGTCAGTGAATTTGAGCTTGGGAGGCCGCATGGTAGCACCACTGTACACATTGACAAGGAGGCATTGCTCCATATTGGAGAATATAAGATAGCCATATGAGCAGCCCAAATACTGCATGTGGACCTGAAGCTTTTGGGGTGCTGAACAGCTGAGGGAGGAGGTTTGCTTCGCAGGATCAACAAGCTGCCAACTGATATTGGATAAAAGACTGTGCTTGATGTACCTGCGATGGGGATGAGAATCATAACCATCTGGTCGAAGGTGGAGAGGTGGGATGTTGAAGGTAAATAAAGGTGGGAGGGAAGAGAGCACAGCGCGCCAAGAGCGGCAGGTGCCAATGAAAGCAAGGAGGTCATGGAATGAGCTAACGAGGACAATTATTTGGAGAAGCAGGCTATCCAGGAGATCTGCCCAAACATCAGGGCTAGGTGCGGAAGAGCGGGTACAGATTAAGGCATGGCAGGTTTTCTTGGATGAGCTTTCTGCAACGGCGACTTCCCTGTCAAACACAGAAAATTCAATGCCGATGGATTAATGGGACGAATATGACAAATAAAAAAATGTTAAAAATGCAAAATGCTCTTGCTACAGACCAAGGCAGATAAGGAATATCCATTTCATTAAACTCCAGAATAGGATGTATAGAAGCATGCCAAACATCAATCAAAGCAAAGTACGACAATACCACCCACAACTTGCACATCAGCATAGATATATTTCTTAGTAGCCTGAGGAATCCATGTATTTTTTTTCCATCTCTCATGATGGCGACAATACTTTGAATCAGGTACCCCAAAGACATAAAAAATCAACTCATCAAGCAATGAGAATTTTGAAGTTAAATTAAAAAAGGAAAAGAAGTTTCCATTATTATCTGGATAGTTCAGGCTACCCAGGGGCAAACTGGTACATTGAGCAGCTGAATTACACCTTTGGCCTTTGCTAAATCTCAGAAAACCATGCAATTAGTTTCAGCTAAGATTTTTTATTTTTCAAATTTTAATAGTTCCATCTGCTGAGCTCTTCCTGGCCCCCTGTGCTATCACGAAACGAGAACCACATGATGTACTAAAGGTCTACAAGGCACTAATTTATCTGAACTCCAGTAAGGATGTCTTAGGAGAGGCGAGAATGCAGTAACCTGATACAAGACACGTTAAGCAAGCTCGGAGGCCACATAAACGTAGTATTTTCCAAGGTAATACAACTGACACGCTTTAGCAGTCCACAACAAACAACAGGCAAGAAAACTCTGATTTCAGTGAGCATGAGCATTTTAGGCAGCGAGATAAGGGCATGACCATTAACGAATCCATGGCCGAATAGCACACAAACCAACACGAGGGCACGATACACGAGAGACTATTGCTTGACGCAAGATATATAGGGTCCCTAGTCCCTACCTGCTGGCTGCTTCAATCTGTCCCCACATCTACCCAACGAAACAAAGAGAAGCATGGAGCGAGGGTTAGGGCAAGGAACGCGGGCGGACCTGAGAGCGTTGGATTCCAGCTGAAAGGGCTCTCCTGGAGAAGGCAGCGGCGGCGGCCGTGCTTGTCGGGGATGCCCACGGCGGCGGCGGCGGCGGCCGGCCATGGGTGACCTGTGTGTCTGTGCGTGTCACACGAGTCGGCAGGGAGGAGACCAACGAACAGGCAGAGCGGCCGTTCTGCTGTTGGAACCTAGCAGGTGGGCTGGACCGGAAACTCGAAGCTGGTTAGCTGCTGAGCCGAGCCAAGGTTTCAGCGCATTAGTATAACAAGTCGAGAAGCTAGCTCACAAGCTGTTTGTGAGCTCAACGAGCTGCACCTCCAAGTTTAGAGTCGAGGAGTAAGCTTCGTGGACGAGGAGCTAGCACTCGGTCTTTAGCGAATCCCACTCTGTCCATGGACGTGGTGGTATGTTGAATTTGCTTCATTGATTGGTCTGTAGGTTACGCCTTTACAGAAATCATTGCTATCTAGATTATTTAATTATTGCTATCCAGATTAATTATTTAATTATTGCTATCCAGATTATTCAATTATTGCTACTCAGATAATGAATTTATCCCCAAAAATTAAGAATGTCATACTTATTTTTGTAATGCAATAGCAATAATTCAGCTATATATTAATACATTTTTTGTCCTTAGCTCATGAGCCAAAAGAGATAGCTCAAGCTTCTTCCCGAGCCGAGCCGAGCTAGCTTTTTAGCTCGTTAGGTATAACAAGCCGAGGCGAGCCAGCAGCTTGATAACCAGGCCTACGGGTGGCTAATGGACTGAACTTTGGGGATTTGTTGGGCTGTTTTTTTTTTAACATGGGCTGATTTAGCCCTGATTTCGGGCGCACGAGTTTGTTGTGTTGAGAGGACTCAATTGGCTGGGCCCAACACAAGCAAGCAGAGGCGACAGGTGAGGCCCATCAGCATCAGGCCGAAATGGAAAAGCGAACAAGGCCGGAGACGGAGTGCAGTACTGCAGTTGCATAAACGAAATCAATGTATGACTGATAATGTTGTTTAGGATTAGGAAAAGATTTGGTCAGACCTCAATGCCTTTTTTTCGAGGACAACAAACATTTTTGTAACTACTGATGTTCTATATATTGTTCAGTATGGAGTGTACATGTAGTTCCACTGTTTGGACAAGGGCTCGTTCAGAGTTTTCTGGATGCAGCAGAAATAAATCCGACTTCCGAACCAGTATTAGTATATCAGGAGTACATAATTGTCATGAAATCAGCATCAACTAGGAAGACAAGTATTATTAAGAAAAAAAATACAGATCACCGACTAGTAACAATTAGTAACCAATAGCTAGTAGTAAAAGTAAGACCGATAAAAAGTGCCCAAGTACATTTATAGTTCTGAAACACTAAGGGTAGCGTCACATATCAACACAAACCACAAAATCATAATGAGTTGGGAAACCGAATTCATTTGATAACTAATATAAATAAAGCCGTACATGCACATGTCAGTCGCCTTCCAGTATTAATTGAAACCAAATAATAACAGAGGATACACAGCCAGTGAAGAGAGGAAACCTGAATGGCCAGCCAATCCACAGAACCAAACTGGAATGTGTAGCATGAACTGATCAAACATCTTCATGCTCATGCAGATCACAGACGAAACAAAAAAACAGACGAGACTGCTAAATTCCCTTCAAACAAGCATCTCAAGCTGTAAATAATATACAAATACGAATGGGGTACAGGTCAAGTCCTTCCAAATATTTTTTTTTATCCAAAGTGTGATTCATGCAGCACAACGCGACTGCTCCATATTATCATGGACTTGAAAGGAAATTGACCGATTCTTGTTTAGATTATACTGAAGAATTTGTTACATAAGCATCACAGTTGCAAACTGGATTATGACTCCATTTACCACTTTATATGGAGCCAAGTCGAGTTAGAAATCGTTTTGTAATGCATTCAGTCTAATTTGAGTCTAACCTAGGTGAAGCTAAAATGCTAAATTTATGACTTCAGTGCACCACTGGCAGTCACCAAATTTGAATATTAATCTCGTGCACAGCGCAATAGGTACTTAATGAGCCAAATGGTGTCAAAAGGTCATATTTATTCTAACTTTTGAGCAATCAGGTTAATTCTCAGGTTTACAGGAACGTCAAGCAGCTTTCTTCAGTTAAAAAGCGAAAGATGTATGTTCTAGAATAAAATGTTGTATGCCACAAATATATTGTAAAGAAAAATGGTAGTAGTACCCAAATGTTGCTTCATCCAAAATAGGATCAAATAGAACAAGATGGGAGGGAAGATTTATTGGAACTATAGGAGGAATATTTGCAGGTGTATATGGGAAAGCTAGCATCATTCTCCCTTCATTTTGCAGCAACAAACTAGAAATATTTTAGCACTTGAATTTGAGTTGAAACACCTTCAAAGTGAGATAAAATATCAAACTGCAGACTGCATACAAAGAAACATTGTCTTGCTAAATGTAATGTGTCTTTACGACACTCTTAAAATAAATGAAAATAATTTGAATGTAAAGCAATCTCTGCGCCTCTGTCAGGCCAAAAGTCTACAAGGCTGCTACAAGTACAAGGTTCAAGTTACTATTCCCCAGCATAGATTAAAGCAGGGTTATTTTGACTGGTACCATTACAATTTTTGAAATTTTGAGAACTACCATTACTATTCATCTATTTTGAGATGAGCCATTACAATTCTTCAGCACTCTAAAATATACCATTATATACGTTCGGGGAGACCTTGGGCCCAGTTGCAGGTGTACATGACGTCATCATATTTTTGAATGGACAAGACTACCCCTCCACCTTCATCTCTATATGTCACTGACGTGTGGACCCCACTGATCATCACCTTCCTCCTTCCCTGTCTTCTTCCCCTAACTCCCTGTGCTAGCTGTGCCGTGAGGCGCTGCCAGCCCGGCCCCACGCGACAGCGGGAGCAGCCGTTCTTCCCCGCTGCTCCGCATCGCGCGGACGCCGTCGTCGCCGTCGATTCATCCTTGTGCGCTTCACTAGGATCCCCGCCGCCTATTTAAGGAAGGTCTCAAGTGCGCTGCGCCCCTCTCGGAACCCTAGGGCAGCCGCAACCGCCACCGCTAGCCCTAGCGCGCCGCCGTCATAGTTGCACCCCCGAGCTCGGCGCCGCCGCCGTCGATCTACGCCACGGCCGCGCCTCAGTTGACTATAGAAGGTTCACGAGCTTCGCAGCGACCTGACGAACCCGCCAGTATCGATCTCTCCCTCCCTCTCTCTCTCTGCTGTGCGCACGTGCTCGCCGAAGTATCGCCGCCGTGTCCGGTCCGCCGCGCCGCGTCTACTGCCGGCTCCGGCCATTCCCCACCGCGGGGAGGTACCCCGCCGAGTTCGCAGCCCCGCGAGCTCCGCTCTCGTGCCGACCGCGCAGGTTCTAGTGCCCCACAGTGCCACCCCGGTGTGCTCGCCGCCGCTGTGCTACCCCATGAGCGAGAGCTGCCAGAGAAGAGGAGCGAGGCCTCGAGGTCCCCGGCGGCGAGCGGCAGCGCCCCACGGACGGGCAGGTGGTGGAGCCTGGCCTCGACCCGCGCGGCGCGCCCGCGAGGCAGGCGGCCGCGGCGTGTCGTCTTCGTCGGAGTCGGGCTCGTCCGCCTCCAGGATGGAATCGACGGCGGCGGCAGGTGGAGGAGGCAAGAGGTCGGACGTGAGCGAGTGGTGGTTGTCGAAGCCGGAGAAGATGCAGATCATGTCGGCGGCAGCGTTTATGGAGCTAGCGAGCGAGTTGACGATGTGCTACGTCGCCACGATCCCCTTCTCCTGTCCGTTCTACGACGGCGGCGCCGCCATCCTCGGCTGTTGCGAGCTACGGGGACGAGGCTGGCAACGAGCGGTGCGGCTAACGCAGGCTCCGGCGTGGGCGCTTGGTCGGTATGCTGCAGAGGGAAGAAGACGGGGAAGGAGGAAGAAGATGACAGACGGGACCCACACGGCAGTCATATGGACGAAGAGGACAGAGGGGTACTCTTGTCAATACGAAAATACGTTGGTCTGCATATGGGCCCAACAGTATCCAAAGCGTATATAATGGTATATTTCAGAGTCCCGAAGAATTGTAATGGCTATCTCAAAATAGGTGAATAGTAATGGTAGTTCTAAAAATTTCGAAAATTGTAATGGTACCGATCAAAATAACCCATTAAAGCAATGGTCTGAAAACACTATGAATATCATGTAAGTAGAATCACCAGGCAGCTTTTGAGCTTAATGTAATGGAGCTTTCAGTCAAAATCATTCTGATAAATGCACTATCCACAGCGTACAAAAAAGATACACCGTGGAAACATCATTAATCACTCACTAGCATATTTATAAGATGATTATCATTCTAGAAACATAAAGAGTAGAATATTAAAACTGATAATTTGAATACCAAACATCAGAAGCAGTGCAATAAGGCAACTGCAAACACGATAACTTTTGAGCAAAGTACCAGATGATGTCAAAAAAGTACCAGATGGTGTCAAAAAGTCACATTTGTTCTAACTTTTGAGCAATAAGCTTAATTCTCAGGTAAAAACAGGAAAGGCCAGCAGAGTTAAAAAGCGGAAGACGTATGTTCCAGAATAAAATATTTTATGCCATAAATATATTGCAAAGAAAAATCGTACCCAAATGTTGCTTCATCCAAAATAGGCTATCAAATAGAACAAGATGGGATGGAAGATTTATTGGAACTATAGGACGAATCATTGCAAGTGTATATGGGAAAGCTAGCATCATTGTCCCTTCATTTTGCAGCAACAAACAAGAAATCTTTTGGCACTTGAATTTGAGATGAAATGCCTTCAAAGTGAGATCAAATATCAAACTGCAGAGTGCAGCGAAAGAAACATTGTCTTGCTAAATGTAATGTGTCTTCACGATGCTCTTAAAATAACTGAAAATAATTTGCATGTAAAAGCAATATCTGCGCCTCTGTCTGGCCAAAAGTCTACTAGGCTGCTACAAGTACAAGGTTTAAGTTACTATTCCCCAGCATAGATTAAAGCAATGGTCTGAAAACACTATGATTATCATGTAAGCAGCATCACCAGGCAGCTTTTGAGCTCAATGTAATGGAGCTTTCAGTCAAAACAAT